AGTTCTGAAGAACAAGAAATTTCTCACACATTGAACATCTGTCGTTTACTGCCGCTACTTTGGATGCCCTCGCTCCCCCATCCCGGTCCCTCTTTTTGCCCCATCCTGCGCTTACATCAATCAAACTGTTATCCTGAGTTTGCTCCCCGGCACCGTGTATGACCTCCGCGAATTCGCCGCCCTCCGCATTAGAAAGTTTTGCGCGTTGCTATTGTTAATCATGTTCCTGTTACCCAGAAAGTGCTTTGAAAAAAATAGCGGAAGGATTCGCTTTGCAAAAATCTGAGGGCTGGTAAACATTTTTGCCGAAATTTATTCAGGCATTTTTAAAAAATTTTTTACTTTTTTTGTAGAAAATTTAGAAAAAAACTGCATTTTTGTCGGTAAGCCATATTTCACGTCGTATTAGTAGATGTAGAAAATAAAATATCAGAAAAACAATTGAAAATTGGATTAGCTGCAACGAATTTCTACAGCAATTGGCAAAATTATGCCAGTACTTAGTAAGTCCTTATTGTGATCTTAGAATATTATTATCCTCTTAGTTCTCAAATTTCGGAAACTGTCGCAGAAATTGAGATATCTTAGATGTCTCTGAAGAGATTGTTGCTGGAAAAAAAGTGCTAACGTGAATACGATTAAACAATCTGCCATTGGCAAGCAAGCACGGCATTTTTCACAGGCGCCACAGCAATTTTCAGGTCGTTTCTGTGAGCAGGATGTCGATGAGTGTGAACTTGGCTTGCATGACTGCAAGAATGGAGGTACTTGCTTCAACAAGAAGGAAGGCTATCACTGCGTCTGTGTCAACGGCTGGGAAGGTGAACATTGCGAGATCAACAAGGACGATTGCGTGGATGCGCTTTGCGAAGCGGGCAGCACTTGCGTGGACCATATTGCCAAGTACACATGCGAATGTCCACCTGGACGCATTGGTAAGCTTGAGCCGTTCCATTTGCGATGAGCTTCAAAAGCAATGATTTTTCGGCGTTCTTAATTCAGTCTGTTCTACAGGTTTGTTCTGTCACATGGAAGATCCATGCCTGGCGAATCCATGTCGAACTGGCTCGGTCTGCGAGCCGGATACTTCGAGTGGAAAGTATACTTGCGAATGTCCGAAAGGTTACACTGGCGAAGACTGCTCCGAAGATATCAACGAATGTGAACAGGTGAATAAAAAACAATAGATTTTCTGGAAAACTCAAGATATAGGTAGATAAAAAAGAGCACTATTTTCTTGGTATAATGGTGATACCATTCGTTATCTTTATTTGCAAAAAAACGAAAGTAATCCACGTGATAAAAGATCATGAGAACATACATTTATTACCAAAAATACCAAGACTGCGCGGACTATCAGTGTGGGTATTCCCTGTTAGCGATGTTACTAGGATGCTTCCACACGCCGAGCTCAGCTATCACATCATTATAATGATAAAATCGATGATTATGATTGTAACTGAATTCATCGTAATGCAGACGATACCACAGTAATTATTCCGACCATTTTAGGGTCACGTTTGTTACAATGGCGGGACGTGCATAAACACGCCAGGATCATTTCGCTGTGATTGTCCAACCGGTTACACCGATTGGCACTGTCAAACACATGTTAATCAGTGCTCCACAAATCCATGCCTCAATTCGGGCACATGCCTGGATTATGGCACACGTTTCAAATGCGTCTGCATGTCCGGTCAGTTCTTCTGGCACTCATCAGCGCACTTTTTCACTTTCATCCTTTTCTACTTTACCCGACATTCTGTTTTTTCATTTTTTTTTGCTTTAAAAACTTCATATTTTATTCGATTTTTTTTTCCGGTTGAATTATTACTCTTTATCTTTGAGGCTACTGATTCTAATATTACACCTTGGTCCAGCCTTTTACTATCATTCACATTTTGCATTACTTTACCCGCCATACTGTTTCCTCATTATTTTTTAATTTAAAAACCTCATATTTTATTCAGTTTTTTCGGTTAGATTATTATTCTTTACTTTTAAGTTTCCTGGTTCTAATATTATACGTTGGTTCTTTCGCTTTTTTTTACTGTTATTACCATGTTTTTCTTCTCAATTACTTATTATTTATTAGGCAAATTTTGATATGTCACACTTTTGTATTTTTTTAGTTTTCCTGGTTTTCCTAATATGTTGTTTAAATAACTAAGTTTTGGCACACATCGTGGGGAGGGAAGGGGAGGGGGAGAAGGACGGGCGTGAAGAGGGGAGGGGAGGGGCTAGGGAGGGGGGCAAAGAGGGGGAGCAGGGGCAAGAGATTCGCTTGTTATATTATGGAATAGTAGAATAAGAGATAAAGGATTGATCTAAGTGTCATGTGTTAGAAAATGCTTTTGCTGCTTAAAACAAGCGTAGTCACGTGGAGCACATAGCAGTAGCATGCACAGAAGTTTACAAGTGCTGCGGTAAAGTGAGGTACAAATTTGAGGTAAAGTCAAATAACCGGCGGTTCTTTTTTGTATTGCACACTGTCTCGAAGATTTAGAATTTGGATAGAAATGGCTTGTATGTTTAGAAAAAACCTGAATGGCATTGAAGTAAATTTAATGAGGCCCTAAAAACGTCCTATTTAAGGGTTGATTTAATTTCAACAGCATGGGAACAGTTTGCCATACAATTTCAGCAGCATGGGGACAGTTTGACTAATAGCTTCTAATACTTTTTTTTAACAAAAACGCTTATGAAAATTAACAAAATTTAGGATTCCATGGAAAGCACTGCGAGCAGCGTTGCCCGGCTGGTTTTGAAGGCGAAAACTGCGAACGACGTCAGTTCGTGGAGTGTAGCTCCACGGATTGTTTGAATGGTGGTGTTTGCTCGAAGGGTTCTTGCCGCTGTCCTCCCGGATATACCGGTGATCGTTGCGAGAAAAAATTTGATCCATGCAAGTACCACAGTTGCCCGGAAAATGCGGTCTGCATACCGTTGAATAATGGAGCAGCCTACAAATGTGAATGCAAACTGGGCTTCTATGGACACGACTGCAAAGAAGAAGTACGATTTTAGCCGCTCTTGCAGCGAATTATGACTTTTGAACAATATTTTCGTATTTCGGATAACTCTTATTCAAGTTTTTGATCTTTTTACCATCAGTTCACTGCCGATATTTCCGGTTTTTTGATTCTGAACTTGTCGCACTCAACATAACATAAAATAATGGATTAGATACGGGCACCTCCATTCGAAGGCATTACCAGCGTTTGCTTAAATTATGTAAACGATTTTTGGTTCGTTTTCTTAAATAGCGAGAAACTAAGCCTTAAATTAAATCTGAAAGAAT